GACTTCTAACACAACTAGGAATCGAGAATGTAGACTAATTGAAATACAACATTTAGCACAAATAAGGTTCGGAAGCTGACTAATAATAAAACACTACCACAACTAATATTACTACAAGTAATATTATTATTATTGTCTAACATCATCCCTCAAGTTGAACTCTGGCTGAAGCAAGAGGACGCTTGGAGGCTAGTTAGAAACTGGAAACTTTGAGAAGAGAGAAGTCTGACGTGCGCCGGTGGCTGCAGACGTCGTTGGAGAAGAGAGAAGTCTAACGTGCACTGGTAGCTGCTAACGTCGTTGGAAAAGAGAGAAGTCTGACGTGCGTTGGTAGCTGCTGACGTCTTTGAAGAAGAGAGAAAGAGTTGACGTGTGTTTGTAGCTGCTGACGTCGAAGAAGAGCAAAGAATGCTATTAGAGGTGTTTGTTTGATTAAAGATCCTTGACATTCTTTGTCTTTTTCTTGGATCTAGGTAATGCCCTATTTCCTTCTTGAAGGGGGGAGTTGTAGAGGAATTCTTTCCTCTTTCACTACTTCCCCTCTTGACTTCGCTTTTGTGCTAACTGACTTTGGATTTTTTATGGTTCAACAAAAGTGAAAGAGAAGGGAGATTGATGATTAGAATGAATGATTTGAGAGAGAAAAAATGGGTTAAAAATTGATGATGAAAAAAAGATTTGGGTCTAAGATTTTGATGTAGTGAATTAGAAAAAAAGAACTATCCTTTTTTTCATTTTTTTTGAAATAGGTTTAATTATCACTACAAGCAGATCATATTAGACTTTCAAAAAATTTAGTCAGACGAACGATACACGATCTTAGTTATTTAAGAAATACTATTGAAATTGTAAATTGATTACGTGTAAGGATATAGGCTTGTAAGTTGAGTAATGATATACACACAAACAAACAATTTACAAAATTTATAAATGTATCATTTTAACATTCACTAAGAAGAAGATGCTCAAATAAAAAATATTTAAATACAACATTCAGAAAAGACAAGTTTGAAAAAAAGTTGATTTGTGATTCTAGAAATGTTGTTTTTACGTACCCCATTATTAGAAATTTAGTGAACATTACTAAAATTGAATTTGAAAAACAAATTTAACGGTCGGTTTGGTGAATTTTGAAGATTTGATAAAACATGCGTTATGAAATTTGAAAAAAAGTGATATGAATTTTTAAATCTGCATCGAATATGTTTGAAGATATTTAAAATTATGATTTGATTAGTGATAAGCGGGAGTGACCGACAACGAGGGTAGTTGGCGGTGACGGTGTTAGCCGGTGATGGAGAATGATCATTGGTTGAGAGATATATATCAAATTCCCATATTAATATCTCTGAAATCCAAGAGATATCGAAACCATCCATTTAAAATATTTATGATATTTGGATATATCATTTTTTCAATAATTTTTTGGGTTTCACCAAACATCTTAAACGTATTCTGATATCTGAAGACATCAAAACTTATATCTTTTTTACTCACCAAACAGATTCTAAATCCAAGTGGGTTAATTGCATAGTTTTGAGAACCGGACCGGTGACCGAACCGGTCAAGGTACTGGTTCACTGGTTCACTGGTCGAACCAGTGGTTCAACTGGTCGAACCGGTGGTTTAAACATATTTAAAAATTATATAAATATAAATAAATATAAATATGTACACACACACATTCTCATATATAAATACATAAAGAAAGTAATTTATAATATTTGACTAAAATTATACTCGTATTAATATACTTGAGTTATTTTACTAAATTAAAAGAAAAAAATTGCATATTAAAAAATATTATTAAAATTTTATTTAAGAAAATGTCAATGATTTTGTGTTTAACTCATAGCTATATAACTACTACGCATTATATTTTTAAAATTGAAAAGTGATTTTTATGCAATCTTTTTATTAATTATGAAATATTATAAAAAATTATACAAATCAAAAACAACAAGCACTGTTAGTTGGGTGGTTAGGAACTCAACCAAATAGCAAAGGGGTCTTGGGTTTGAACCCCCATGGAGTGAAGTTTTGGAAAAATTGCAAAAAAAAAAAAAAAAAAAAAAAAAAAAAAACTGGTCCGATCGGCCGGTTCTTACCGGTTCAAGCCGGTTTGGACCGGTTCGAAGCTCATTACGGTCCATTGGACCGGACCGGACCGGTTGGACCACCGGTTCGTCGGTTCATTGTCCGAACCGGCCGGTCCGGTCTAGTTTTTAAAACTATGGTTAATTGGTTCATAACAAAAAAAGATTCCACGAGGGTGTCCGTATTGGTAATAGCCCAACATTTGCACGGCACAAGGACAGTGATGGTTTTGGCGAGGCAAGGCTAGGTCTTAAATATATGAAAAATGCCAGGGGTACACTTAGACCTGGCAAAATAGAACCGAAACCGATTACTCGAACTGAAATATCCGGAATCGAAACCGAAATGACCCGAAAAATGAAGATCCGATTTATAACCAAAAACCCGAAATGATCCAAATCGAACCGAAACTGATCAAAATAATTCATATCCGATTTAAATCCGAAACTGATTAGATTCGAAACCGATAATATCCGAACCGATTAAACCCGAAACCGATTAGATCCGAAACCGACTAGAACTAAAATAGATAAATTCAGAACTATATTTGCCTTTCAATAAGCATATTATATTTTTAAATTTTTACTTTTATTTTTTCATTTGAACTAATTAAATTAATTACTCATTTCCTCATAAAATGGATTGTCTTCTTAAAAAAAAGTACTAATTACGTATATATGATAACTCACAAACAAATAAAATATACGTGATTTTTAAATACTGAAGTGTGATATTCTTTTTGGGCGAAAGTATTATATGATGAATTGTATAGAATAAATATACTTTATCCTAATTTCATCTCATTACAATAAATTTTATTGATTTGAGAGTTCATTTGATTAGTTTCAAATCAATTCACTCAATATTAGTTAATAAAATTAGATGCTAGTGTTAACATTTTGAAAAGACTTTCTAGCAGGAACATTTAGTGATATCATTTTCAAATTTGATCTCTACCATTACATTTAGATGTAAAACTAATTATATTTGACTTTATTAAATTTAATTTTATCTATTTTCAACTAAATATACTCAATAATTTGTAAATTTTGCACTCAATTGAATAAAATTCACTTAATTTCACCCAGTTTTTCTCAATTTTTACCAAATTGTATTCAAATGGAACATACTACTATTTGAATTTATCTTATATCTGATCATTTATAAACATAAGTATATTAGTAGATGTGAAAAAAATTTGATGTATCAAAACAAAATTTTAAAATTAATTTAATTATATTAAATTTATATCATAATTAAATATATATGTTTTCATAATTTGTAGTCCAAGTTTGTAAAATATAAATAAAAAGTCAAAAAGGGAAGATTGTTTTGGGTAGATATAATATAATTATAAAAAATATAAATAATATGAGGTATTGATTTGATGATAGATTGATAAATGTGATAAAACATAAAAAGAAACATGGATAGTTTAATTTTAATTAGAAAATAATATATATCCAAAATATATTTGATTCGAAACCGAAATATATCCGAATCGAACTAGATCCAAAACCGAAATATATCCGACTTAAATTGTATCCGAACCAAAATCTATTCGAACCGTTTTATAACCGAACCGAAATTTAACCGATCCGAACCGACCAATTATAACATATAACCGAAATATATCCGAACTGAAAAAGTTCAATCGGAAACCGATCCGGTTGATCCGATTGCCACCTCTACCATATAAATGGAAAAAAAATGGAAAAATAAATATATAATTAAAAATGAAATATATATCCCAACCATAGTTTTAAAAACCGGACCGGCCGGTTCGGACCGGAACCAGCGAACCGGTGACCAAACCGGTCCGGTCCAAGCCAAAAGACCGCATCTGCTATGAACCGGGGAGAACCGGGGAAAACCGGCAAGACCCGCCCGGTTGAACCGAAAACCAGGTTTTCTTTTTGCGAAAATCCTCCAAAATGTTCCGCGCAGGGATTTGATCCCTAGACCTCCCAATCAATACATATGTCTAACAACCACCTTAACTAAAGTCTCCTTGGGGGATATCTTGCATAAAGTAGAAATGTATTCCGTATAATATATTTTTTGATAAAAAAATTCTGAAATGATTTCTTTTCAAAAAAAATTCTGAAATGATAACCACCTAAGTATTTGTTCAGTTTTGACTTTTTTACCAACTGTTTTCAACATTTGACCTTTTAAATAAAATATACATTTTATTTTATTTAAATAAAATAATATTTTGAAAATATTTGATATAATAAATCTAATAGAACTTTTTTTGAATCAATATCTAATAATTTGAGGTCAAAACTTACCAATTTTGACCAAAAAATCAATGAGATATTTAAGTTGAATAAGTTTTGAAAACATTGGACAAAATCTTGAAAAAATAAAATCTTCTATTTTAGGAGCATAAAATTTTCAATATAATTTTTAAATATGTCATTGTATATAATTTTATCAATTTAATGCTATCATTCAAATTAATTAAATTGATTATAACTTTAGTCATATATCATAAATAACTTAATTATTTTTATTTTTATATAAAAAAAGTATTTTTTGTTTTATATATATATATATATATATATATATATATATATATATATATATATATATATAATTTTCAAATATGCGTGAACCACTGGTTTGACCACTTGAACCACCGGTCCGACCAGTAAACCAGTGAACCAGTACCTTTTTGGCCGGTTCGGTCCCCGGTCCTCTTTTAAAAACTATGATCCCAACTCTCTCCTCGGATCAGTGTACCGCAGTCAAATCGCTAAATCCCCTGCTTCATTCATTCATAAAGCACTCAAATCTTCTATCAATGGAGGGCATCCATCATCATCATCATCTTCTACAAGCAGCAGGGGGTGAGCAGCAACCACCTCCGGCTCAAATTCCGATCGGATTCCGCTTCGATCCGACGGATGAGGAACTGATAGCCGGTTACCTGATGAAGAGGGCAATAGGAGATGATATGCCTCCGCATCACATATTCACATGGAATTTTTTTACGATTGCACCATCCCTCCATCTTCCCAAGTAAGCCCAATATTCTGTCTAAGGCTTATTCATTTATTTGTTCCTTGGGATCTTTTATTACATAGACTTGATTCGATCTTTTATTTGTTTGGGCTCCTTGTATTTTGCTTTGATTCCATGTGCTTTGGATGCGTCTAAGGCCCAATTCATTAGCCTCTTTCATTTTTGTGTGTTTTTCTTTTTCTAGCTTATCCAACTACGGATGATGTTTATATTTTTGCGCCTCCATGACAGGAGGTTGGACTTGCGGGAACTGGTAGTTGGCTTAAATCAGATCCCCCAAAGAGGTTTTCCAAGGGGTGCCCCTATAGGTTCCAAGGGGTGCCCCACGAATTGGCTTTTAGACGTGTTCTCTATGCCTCATCACTCTCAGCAGGTAAACCCAATCTACTCCTCCCAAGTTTTTCGTTTTTTTGGTCCTCTTTGCTTCCCTAAGTTTTTCAGTTCTTCTCTATTCAAGTTTTTGTTAGGATTCATCCTCCAAATAGGATGAATCTACCACCAATACTAATTCTATTCCGTCTGAACTAATTGTTTCAGAATAAATTTATATTTTTATTCACATCATTGGATTTTTGATGAAATTTTTACTTTTTTTAATGTATTCTAATGTTTTTTCGATATTTTGGGTTTTCATTTTCACATTGCTTTTAATCCATTTATAATCATTTGATTTTTCGGCCTGGTCTTAGTGACACCGGAGAACGGTGCCACTCCGGTGCGACTGTGTTTTTGAGGCACCTCTGGTGCTCCGTTTGTAAAATTGACAATTTCTACCCCCTAACCCACCCCTAAACCCCCACCCTACCCGTTTGTCAATTTTATGAATGGAGCACCGAAGGTGCCCCAAAAACACAGTGACACCTTTCTTCGGTGTCACTAGAACCGGGTCGTTGGTTTTTTTAAACGGATTCGGATAATTTTGTTCGGATTTGGATATTGATCAGTTTCGGATATCTAATTATATCCGGATATTTCCAAAACTGAGATTATCCATCAGATACGGATTCAGATATATCCAAAACTGAGATTATCCGTTGGATATGGATACATATTCGGATATTCGAATAATTAATTGGATATAGATTCGAATATGCCATATCCACCACGGATATTATCCGTTTACACCCTACTATATCTCCAATCATTAGCAAGATGGGAGTTAAGATATCCATTACTTGATTTTCGTTTTCTAATTATTAGGTCTCTTCACTCTATTTGGTCTGAAATTCTAGTTTTATCTCTCTTGATTATGAGCTTGTTTGGGAATAACTTAGAGATTAAAGCTAGCGTTTTAGGTTAGCGTTTTCAAAATTCATATAAATCATTAAAATTTTCTCCTAAAATAATAACGCTAATTTATGACGTTATTTTCAAATGGGTCCTATATTCCAATCAATTCTGTTGCATTTAAGTTAGCGTCAAAATATCTACAAAAAGCAAAAAGAAATAGCCATTTACGAGTATATTCTCCATCAAAAGGTAAAATTCATAATAACTTTAAAATGTACAAAGTATATATAAACATCATTTAGTCTCAAAACTCTTTCGACCTATGCCCAAAAAGTGAACAATACTCACATCAAAGAAAATTCTTTAGCCTTACACACACGAAAACAAAAGCTCCCGCTTGTGCCAAAATTTAATAGAAACTTGGGAAGAAAATAGCATAATCTCAAAATTATGTTTGATTCAAAGAATTTGAAAGAGAAAAAAAAATTAAGATAGAAAATGATTTTTCTTTTTTGATTAAAAAGAAAAAGAAAAATGAATGAAAAAAAGGTAAAACATACTACAAAGAGGAAAAATCAAACTCCTATTTTGGAGAAGAAAACGAGAGAAATCCATTTTTTTACATTTCCTTCTTAATTCATTTGAACCAAACATAGTACAAATCTTTTTGGTAAAATAGTGCTGAGTCAAAATAAAGCACAATACAAATATCATTAAATGAAAATGAAAAATACTAGTGAATTTACAAATAAAAAAAGCAATCAATAAAACATTATTTTAATGAAAAAAGACGAGAAGGAAAAAGAATAAGAAAAGGATACCAACTTTGTATGGCATTAGAGCACAAAATTAATGAATTATGAATGAACATAAAATTAGGTCTGCATTAGGAGAAATAGATATAAAGAAGTCCGCTTATAAGATCTGCATTATGGTTTTAAACAAAAAGTTTTATATATGTCTTGAAACATGCAGGACAAGAAAACAAATGATTTGAAGCAACTTCCATTTCTGCATCTACTCCTCCCTCCATCACTGCCTTTTGGTACCTTCCCTCATCATTTTGAGCAAAACCAAAACTTGAAATTCAATTTTGTAAAAATCAATGCTATTTAATATATAATTAAGAGTTAAGTATAAATGAATCTAATTCACCTCTGGGTTTGGTAAGGAATACTCTTCCATGACCCACGCGGTGGATCTATAGAAGATGTATCTAGTGTTGAATCCTGCAAGCTCACCTCCGACCTCGATTGGGGTTACACCCACTTTCGATGAGTCCCACCAGCCCCCATTTCCCGCAGTTATGGTCCCGTCGGGAGCGTCGAGGTAAACGCATATAGTACATGATCCATGCCTGCAACTTTAGAGAAAAAATAACATTGTTATTTAGTACGTAGCAATTATAATGACAATTGAATATGAACGTACTCATCGTTGAGGTATTGTGGATACCAATCGTAAGGTCATTTATGCCAACAGACGGGAAGATTGGGCCCCCAGGTCGCTGACTGTTTGTGGCTACCTTCCGGTGGAGGTAGCCATGCATGTCAGCATCCCTTGGACAAAAATGAAACCTAGACGGGAGATTCTCAGGTCCCCACAGACCTGGTTGAGGCCTCAACCTCCTATTTGGAAGATGAATCCTAACAAAAACTTGAAGAGAGAAGAATTGAAAAACTTAAGGAAGCAAGTTGGAGTAAAAAAATAATTGAAAAACTCGGGAGGAGTAGATTGGGTGACCTGCTTAGAGTGACACGTCTAAACGCCAATAAGTTTATTTAAAGAACTTGAAGAAAGTCTTCAAGTTCTTTAAAGAAACTTATTGGCGTTTAGACGTGTTCTCTGTGCCCCATCATTCTCAACAACTCATCCAATCTACTCCTCCCAAGTTTTTCAATTATTGTTTTGCTCCAACTTGCTTCCTTAAGTTTTTTAATTCTTCTCTTTTCACGTTTTTGTTAGGATTCATCCTCCGAATTGGCTCCAACCAGGTCTAGAGGGAATTGAGAATCTCCCGCCTGGGTTTCATTTTCATTCAAGTGATGCTGATCTGCTTGACTACATCCACTTGAAGGTAGCCACCAAGAGTCAACAACCCGGGGGGCCGATCTTCCCGTCTGTTGGTATAAATGACCTTACGATTGGTATCCACAAAACCTTGATGATGAGTTCATATTCAGTTGTCATTATAGTTGCTATGTACTAAACAACACTGTCATGTTTTCTCTTAAACTGCAGGAAGGGATCATGTGCTATATGCGTTTACCTCGACGCTCCTGTCGGGACCCATACCGGCGGGAAATGGGGGCTAGTGGGAGTCATCGAAAGTGGGTGTAACCCCAATCGAGGTCAGAGGCAAGACTGTGGGATTCAAGAAAAGATATATCTTCCATAGACCCACCGTGTGGGTCATGGAAGATTATTCCTTACAAAACCCAGAGTTGAATTAGATTTCTTTATACTTAACTCTTAATTATATATTAAAAAGCATTAATTTTTACAAAGTTGAATTTCAGGTTTTGGTTTTGCTCAAAATAAAGAGGAAAGTGACTAAAAGGCAGTGGTGGAGGGAGGAGTAGATGTAGAAATGGAAGTTGCTAAAACAATAGTTGCTTCATATCATTTGTTTTGTTGTCCTGCGTGTTTGAGGACATATCTAAAACTTTTTGTTTAAAACCATAATGCAGAGCTTATAAGCGGACTTCTTTATATCTATTTCTTCTAATGCTGACCTAATATTATGCTCTTTCATACTTCATTAATTTTGTGCTCTAATGCCATACAAAGTTGGTATCCTTTTCTTATTCTTTTTCCTTCTAGTCTTTTTTCATTAAGATAATGTTTTATCGATTGCTTTTTATTTGTAAATTCACTAGTATTTTGCATTTCAATTCATTGGTATTTGTATTGTGCTTTATTTTGATTCAGCATTATTTTACCAAAAAAGATTTATACTATGTTTGGTTCAAAGAAATTAAGAAGGTAATGTAAACAAATGGATTTCTCTTTTTTCCTCCTCTTAGTGTGTTTTACCTTTTTCTTTTCCATTCTTTTTTCTTTTTTTTTTCGTTTTAATCAAACAAGAAAAATCATTTTCTATCTTAATTTCTTTTTTCTTTCAGATTCTTTGAATAAAAAAATAATGTTGAGATTATGCTATTTTCATCTCAAGTTTCTATTCAATTTTGCCACAAGCTGAGAGTTTTTGTTTTAGTGTTTGTGAGACTAAAGAATTTTCTTTGATGTGAGTGTTGTTCAAATGATATTTCCTTTTGATGGAAACTCGATAAACAAATACTCTATGTTACACACTTTTTGGGCATAGGTCGAAAGAGTTTAGAGACGAATTGATTTTTACATATACTCCTATACATTTTAAAGCTATTATTTGTTTTACCTTTTGATGGAAATATACTCGTAAATGGCTACCACTTTTGACTTTGGGCAAAAATAAGCAAAGTGAAGAGACCTAATAATTAGAAAATAAAAATCAAGTAATGGATATCTCAACTCTTATCTTGCTTATAATTGGAGGTAGGAGTGTAAACGGATAATATCTGTGGCGGATATGGCATATCCGAATCCATATCCGATTAAGTATTAGAATATCCGAATATGTATTCGTATCCAACGGATATTTACTATTCTATATCTGAATCCGTATCCGACGATAATTCTCAGTTTTGGATATATTCGGATATCCGAAACTAATTAAATATCTGAATCCGAACAAAGTTATCTGAATCCGTTTTAAAAATCCAAATGCTTATAAAATGGATTAAAAGCAGTGTGAAAATGACAATCCAGAATATCAAAAAAACATTAGATTACATACAATAGTATTAAATATTTCACCGAAAATCTAATGATGCAAATAAAAATATAAATTTATTCTGAAACAATTGATTCAGATGGAATAGAACTAGTATTATCGGTAGATTGAGAAGAAACATCAACGCTTTGTTGTGTTTGTTCCGCCATTTTCTACAATAAACAAAATTACACAGTACTTGCATCACATATTAAAAAATGATGATAATCTATCACGGAGAAAAAAAAAATCAATCCTTTCCTATAATGAATTAATGATATTTTGTTATATGTACACTTAGGTTATTCTTGAGACATGATTAGCTATACATTTCTGTACTGATGCTCTTTTTTATGTTCTATACTTTTCACATTAGCATTTCTAGTGGAGTATTCCATAAAAGACACAGTAAACTTTTTTTAGAAAAAAATGTACAGTAATAGATTCAAACCCTCTTTATCTCTGGGCTGCTGTTATGCTTTTCTGCTTTTTTTTTTCTTGGTTTGTGAAATCTAAGTACATGATTTAAAAACAGAACAAGAAATACAATTAGAAGCAAAACATGAAATATGATTAAAAACAAAATATGAAATACAATTTTGAAAGCATCAAATTTGGGAAAAATTAAAAACAAGTAATTGTGGAAATATGATTAGAAGAAGAAACAACTAGAAAAGAAATGCCTTCTATTCAGAGATGGGGGAAGACTAGAGATTGAGAGATGGCTTGTCAGGCTATGAGACGACATGAATCAATTGAGAGAGTCGGAGATGGGTTGAGTAACACTACAAGAAAACGTCAAAAGGACGATGGAAAACTGCGACGGAATGCATTTTGATGTTGATAACGACAGACAAAACGACGAAATGTATTCGGCTACCCGTGGTAACGACGAATTTAGAGATTCGTCGTTAAGTAGGCGGGAAGTAGTGCGCGCCCCATATAACGACGAAAACAATGATGGAATAATTTTGTGGTCATATGAGCGACGGAAAAAAACAGTTGCCAAATGCCCATTAAGCAAAACGTAGCGTTTTGACTTAGTGACGGTTTCTTTTCGTCGCTACAATCCGTCGCTTCCAGTCGGATCTAAAAACATCCCTTCATCGTAACTTTCTGGTTTTGTGGAAAGAAACAAAGGAGAGCCAGAAGTCGTCCGAAACACATGAGTCCAGTTGTCGTCCTCTCCGCGGTCGTCGTCTAGTCCTTCAGATCACAGGTATGCTCTTTTCCTTTTTTATACAATTTCAATTTGTAAAACAAATTCGGCTATAGATTATTCTTTTATACTCGAAAATAGAATTATTATTGCTTAATGATATGAAAAAGAGTACATTATATATAAATTATTTGACACTTTGTTCTAATTTTATAATTAATTGAGATTAGGGTTTTTTGATTTTTCCCACACTTTAGTTACTTTGTTTTAAAAAATTATTTATATTCTTGAAACTTTTAGTGAATGAATACTATGCTTATTGATTGTTTATAGGATATTTTAGATATTATAAGTGTTATATGAGGATTTTGTATGTAGAAAGTATGTTGTTGAATATTGTAGCTGTTGCATTTATATTATTTTTTTAAAGTTTGTTTTTTAAATTCTATAACTTAATAGTATGTTAATTTTATTTTTATGAACTTTACAGAATGAGTGACTTTCACGAAAGTCGGGATTGGATGTATTAAAGACTTGATAGTTCAGGTTTTATAAATACAGATTGGGTTGACAAAGTAATATAATTCATTGATATTTGTGAGTCAAATTTAAAAGTGGACAGGAAGATATGTTTTCCTTGTAAGATTTGTAAGAATAGATATTTTTAGGATATCGAGGACATTAAGCTTTATGCACTGAGACAAAGTTTCACTCTAAATTTCTTGATTGGGTTTGCCACGGGGAGGAACATGGTGACTATACGAGTCATCATCAATGTCGTAAATCTGCTCGTACCTTTGTTGAAATCGATAGGGCTGAATGCATGAATATGGTAATTGATGCTGCATGGCCTTCCTTTAATCCTAACAGTTCTGTTCAGGAGGAACCAAATGCCAATGACAAAAATACTTTTTGACATGCTAAAAGTCACCAATGAATTTTTCTTTTCTAGATTTGCCATGAAAGAGATGGGGGAGGCTGGCGATTCTAGGTCTAAGGATCGAACGTAAGGATAATGAAATTTCTATTTCTCAATCACATTATATTGAGAAAATTTTGAAGAAGTTTAATTTCAGAGATTGTTCTCCGGTCATTATTCTTATTGATCCAAGTCTAAAGCTCTTGCCTAATAAAGGTGTTGCGATATCTCAATTAGAATATGCACGAGCTATTGGATGTTTGATGTATGCTATGATGAGTATTATGCCTGACATAGCATATGTGGTTGGAAAGCTTAGTAGGTATACTAGCAATCCTAGTTCACATCATTGGCAAGATGTTAACCGAGTACTTAAATACTTAAAGGGAACCATGAAATACGGTTTAACTTACACCGACTTTCATTTAGTTTTAGAAGGATTCTCCGATGCAAGTTGGATAACTAATATAGAAGATCATTCTTCCATGAGTGGTTGGATATTCCTTCTCGAGGTAGGTGCAGTTGGTTGGTCATCGAAGAAAGAAACTTGCATAACTAACTCTACAATAGAGTCTGAGTTTGTGGTTGTAGTAGCAGCTGGTAAAGAAGCAGAATGGCTAAGAAATCTGATATATAAAATTCCATTGTAACCAAAACCAATATCTCCCGTATCTATTAGGTGTCATAGTGAATCAACTTAGGCTAAGGCGTATAGTCAAGTTTACAATGGGAAGTTGAGACATTGAGGCATGAGACACAACATGGTTCGTGAGCTCATCTGATCATTTAAGCAAAGGGTTAAGTAGAAACTTTATGCAAAGATCGGTTATGGGGATTGGATTGAAGTCTATCTAAATGTCTCATGGTAAGAGTCCTAATTCCCATCTAATAAGACGTTAGATGTTGAATTCAATGTGGAAAATCTTAAGATTTAGAAACCGGAACACATTAAGTATATTATCCCAAGGTATGTGTTCAGACATGTAAGATTAAGAGGTTGAAGTATGTCTTCTTATTAGTTCTTTTGAAAAATTGCATATGCAGGTCCAAGAGTAAAAAATCTACCTATATGAGCATGGAGTTCAGCCGCTTCAAGAAGTAAAGACTTCACTTTGATATGCTTATGAAGGCTTAGGATACAAGGCTAGTAAATAATAGTGTCAAGTTAAAACATTAAAGTATGTAAACTTTTGTGTATATTATCTTCATGTGTTCAAAATGAATATAGAAGGTTCAATCCTCAATGATAATATGATATTCGAATATTTGAAATGTGTAATGTACTAAGACGAAAATCAATTGTCACGATATTTCATTTATGCATAAGTTTGTAGTTTGTCATGGATTTGTTTTGTTAATCAAGGATTACAGTAAAATAGGGGAGAAATGTTATATATTTTAATATAATTGGAAATACTATTTGACCAATGATATCATAATAATCATCAAAGAAGTCAGGTGGTGCGGATTACACGCTTCGTTGAGTTTGTTATGATAAAATTCTCGTCTTAACGGGGGTTCTAAGGGGGCAGCGCCCCCTTGGCGGGGGTTCGGGGGTAGCACCCCCGAGCAGGGTTCAAGGGGTGGCAGCCCCTACGTGGTTTAAGGGGCTGGGCCCCTACGTGGTTTAAGGGGTTGAGCCCCTGGCTAGTGTCGAGGATGTA